CTTTTTCTTAAGTTATTACTTATTACTTTAAAATTGGCATGAGAAGATCTTGGGCATGACATAGTGTCCATGAACTAGAGTGGGCGGACTTGTCCAAAAAGCGTTGCGAAATACTGTACGCGTCCATGTGCTAGTTGTCCGGTATTGCCCACCATTTTGGATTAGCGCAGTTATGTTTACGGCGGGCCTTGCTGTAGGAGGTAGGTTGGAGATGGGGTTCGCGATGGTACCCGCGGTCAGTTGTCTCCGTGTGTAGGTAACAAATGCTCTGAAGTGGAAAATTAAAATTCCGAATTGCTCAGGAAGCTGACGTCTAGACTTCGGACGAGTCACGCGCGATATTGTAAGGATTCGAGCGTTTTGGTATTGGTAAGGCTTCTCGGAGTGCGAGAGCAGCCTCGACGTAGCGTTTCGAATGTAGAAGCCTTCGAAAGTCTTCGATGTCCCAGTGTGAAACAGATTATGTTCAATGCTAGTAACGTTACGGGATAGTCCTTAATCTCTTACTCCATTGATACTCTTGATTCCTCTAGGTCTGCTACTCTTCGTGGATCAGTGATCGAATCGTGCTAAGGTTCAAACTTACAAAAGAGTTCGTGTTTATAAGAGCTACGCATTCGTTCTTGTCAAGGTAACTTTTTGGTTGCACGAAACTTGTTTGAATTTGAAGTTTACATGATCGAAGTTTTCTCACCATTTCAGATGCAAATTTTCGTGAAGACCTTAACGGGGAAGACTATCACTCTGGAAGTCGAGCCATCTGACACCATCGAGAATGTTAAAGCGAAAATTCAAGATAAGGAGGGTATTCCCCCTGATCAGCAGCGATTGATTTTTGCTGGCAAGCAGTTAGAGGATGGCCGAACACTTTCGGACTACAATATTCAGAAGGAATCAACTCTCCATCTTGTTCTCCGTCTCCGAGGAGGAATGCAAATTTTCGTCAAAACCTTGACAGGTATTATCAAGCATAAGTGTATTTGCTCTTCATGTCCGTTTTTACGAAAGCGAGCGATTTATTTAGTCGAAGTGGGGATCACACGCTACTTGGAAGTTGAACAGAAATGACTTCGCAAGTTGCGAGGGCAGTAAAATTCCAGAATGCACGTGAACTCTTTATTACTATTTTCTCCGCATATCGAATTTTTTGGTTCCACGGGGGTTAGAGGCTCCATAGGACTTAATTTTTTCTGGTCCCATGAATATCGTAAGATCCCGACTTCGACGTGCCACAGGAACTTCGTTTGATAAATACTCGCATTGAACCCACAGGTAAGACCATCACCTTGGAGGTCGAGCCATCTGACACGATCGAGAATGTGAAGGCCAAGATCCAGGACAAAGAAGGAATTCCCCCTGATCAACAGCGGCTTATTTTCGCCGGAAAACAGCTTGAGGATGGTCGCACGCTCTCTGATTACAACATCCAGAAGGAATCGACTTTGCATTTGGTCCTGAGGCTACGAGGTGGCATGCAGATTTTCGTCAAGACACTTACTGGTAAACTAAATGATCGAAACTATTTGTGCACAAATTCTAATCAAATGTTCGTTTTGGGCTCAGGTAAAACTATCACCCTAGAAGTCGAACCGTCGGACACCATCGAGAACGTTAAAGCTAAAATTCAGGACAAGGAGGGAATTCCTCCTGATCAGCAGCGTCTGATTTTTGCCGGGAAGCAGTTGGAAGATGGCCGTACCCTGTCCGACTACAACATCCAGAAAGAGTCGACCCTTCATTTGGTCCTTCGATTGCGCGGTGGCATGCAGATATTCGTGAAGACATTGACGGGTTGGTTAACAGTTGAATATAGGTCTTCACATTCGCATTTGTGAAGTACTATGAAGAATTAGTTGAGCATAGGTAAAAGCTGGTTTTTTTTGACAGGCAAAACCATCACGTTGGAAGTCGAACCATCAGATACGATCGAGAATGTGAAGGCGAAAATTCAAGACAAGGAAGGAATTCCTCCAGATCAGCAGCGTTTGATTTTCGCTGGCAAACAGCTGGAAGACGGGCGAACTCTCTCCGACTACAATATCCAAAAGGAGTCCACCCTTCACTTGGTCCTTCGTCTTCGTGGTGGCATGCAAATCTTCGTGAAAACTCTTACTGGTACGTTCAAATTTTTCTTGCTGTGAGGTTTATCCAATGACTTGATGTCAATTGTAGGCAAGACCATCACGCTTGAGGTGGAAGCTTCGGACACCATTGAAAACGTCAAAGCCAAAATTCAGGACAAGGAAGGAATTCCTCCAGATCAGCAGCGTTTGATCTTCGCTGGCAAGCAGTTGGAAGATGGGCGAACTCTTTCAGACTACAACATCCAGAAAGAGTCTACGCTTCATTTGGTTTTGCGTCTCCGCGGTGGCATGCAAATCTTCGTGAAAACTCTTACTGGTACGTTCAAATTTTTCTTGCTGTAAGGTTTATCCAATGACTTGATGTCAATTGTAGGCAAGACCATCACGCTTGAGGTGGAAGCTTCGGACACCATTGAAAACGTCAAAGCCAAAATTCAGGACAAGGAAGGAATTCCTCCAGATCAGCAGCGTTTGATCTTCGCTGGCAAGCAGTTGGAAGATGGGCGAACTCTTTCAGACTACAACATCCAGAAAGAGTCTACGCTTCATTTGGTTTTGCGTCTCCGCGGTGGCATGCAAATTTTCGTGAAAACTCTTACCGGCACGTGACCATTCCTTTTGATGAAGTACTATGTACTAATTTCTTCATTCATTCCAGGGAAGACCATCACGCTTGAAGTAGAAGCTTCTGACACCATTGAAAACGTCAAAGCCAAAATTCAGGACAAGGAAGGAATTCCTCCAGATCAGCAGCGTTTGATCTTCGCTGGCAAACAGTTGGAAGATGGCCGTACCCTGTCCGACTACAACATTCAGAAAGAGTCGACTCTTCATTTGGTCTTGCGTCTCCGTGGTGGCATGCAGATCTTCGTGAAAACGTTGACGGGTGAGAATAAATTTATTCCTCGATCATTTTCAAAACAGACCTCATTAAATTTATTAATTTTTTAAAAGGAAAAACCATCACTTTGGAGGTTGAGGCATCTGATACGATCGAGAACGTGAAAGCTAAGATCCAAGACAAAGAAGGGATTCCACCAGATCAGCAGCGATTGATCTTCGCTGGCAAACAGCTGGAGGATGGCAGAACTCTGTCCGACTACAACATTCAAAAGGAGTCAACTCTACATTTGGTCCTGCGTCTTCGTGGTGGCATGCAAATTTTTGTGAAAACGCTGACCGGTGAGTTATCCGAGTCACCTTCGTAATTTAATTGAATCAATCGTTCTGTTCTCCCGCCAGGCAAGACCATCACTCTTGAGGTGGAAGCGTCGGATACCATTGAGAATGTGAAAGCCAAGATTCAAGATAAGGAAGGTATTCCGCCTGATCAGCAGCGTTTGATCTTTGCCGGGAAGCAGCTTGAGGATGGACGCACGCTTTCGGACTACAATATCCAAAAGGAGTCCACCCTCCACTTGGTCCTTAGGCTTAGAGGAGGTACGGTCAACCCTAGATTGAGGGCCACCCTTGCATAGTGACATAGTTTTTAAACGCTAGGAAAGCTGAAGAACGTATTTTTTCAAGAAATTTTCCCAGAAGAGGCACTTAATGAAATGGCGAATTAAATGCAGGTTATAAATTTAGATACCAATTGCTCTCAATTTCTGCGAGGAAGACAGCAAAGATTTCCTTCATTTGTTTAATCAGGGTTTTCTTTTCTATTATTTCTGCAAACTAGTTACAAGTAATGGCATGAGAAGAAAAGTGCCTACTAACAAATGCCCAAAACTCATTATTGCAAGAAAGGTATTCAAAATATTTTGAAGGTTTCATAAAAGCTTAGAAGTTTCTCACGAAGGACAAAAACAAGCTTACAAAATTCAGTTCTACGTCTGGCAAACAATTCACCCATGTTTTGGGCATTGCCAATCTGTTGCATATGGGTGCGTAGCTTATTCTTTGGTGGTTCGGCTGAGGTGCTCAAGTTTGTGGAGCCCTAGTTCAAAGTTGAGATGGTCTGTAAGTTTTTCGAGGTGATCACCCATACCAACACTGGTGGCTGTTATGGGTGACCAAGGCACCACACCACGAGAGCTGCATTGTGTGGTGTGGCACCGTGCCACACTGCGCCATCCCCTACCAAACCACTGCACTGCACCATTTTGTGTTGCAGCGCACTGCTGTGCAATGCCGCTATCGGGAACTGCGTAGTGTGGCATGCTTTAACTACATGATACTTAATCTTACTACTTTACGGATATAAACATTCATGGAGCAGTGCGAACAAAATTCCCGGACCCTCTCCAATTTGAACTGGGGCTCCACAAACCGGAGCACGCCAGCCTAGCCGCTTAGGAATAAGCTACACGGACATGTTGTATCCCACTGACATTACACTGTTATTACAGAATTTCGTAAATGTTTCATCTCTGAAGTTAAGGATTTGAAATTCTCGAAACAATCCAGAAAATATGTCAGCATAAAGATGCCTCTGGCAGCCACCCGAAACTGATCCTCTTTTTTTTTTGTATTACCCTAGATTTAGTGCCGCCCTCCCGTAGTGCCGGAAAATATCCGGGATGGATGGTGGCACTAAATTGGGGTTTGACTACAGTACTTCAATTGGTGCCTATGGTCAGACGCTTTAATAATGTATTTGGGGTTTCCAGGTCTTTGAAAAGAGCTTCGCTCTCGAATTGGCTTTTCGGAAAACGACTGGACTTCAAACCGTGGACTTCACATGTGTAATCTATTACTAATCTCGTAGTCATACTGATCCATAGCTAATCAGTCACCTAGTTGTTGTGCTAGATTGGTGAAGGCATTCTATTGATGTGCATATGGAGCGCACTATCGTGGATTTGTCCTATGACTTGGGATCTGTATTCTATCCTATGGTGATCAATAAACATTCTGCACGTGATCTTGTGTTTATTTTTTCATGACTCTCGGTAGCGCTGGTTGTGTTTGAGTTTTGATTTATTTTGCAGACATTTAAAAATGTCAGGGGTTGTGTGCGCGGAAGAGGATGAAGAAGAGAAATTGCGGGCACTATTCGAGGCCTGTGATGCAGATGGCGATGGGTTTGTATCTGGTTTGGATTTGGAACGAGTCTGGGATGCCTTGAGAATGGAGGAGGTGTGTGAGTGGTCACTGAGTGAGCTCCGGGATGAGTTGGGTTTGATGAAACCTGACTCGAAGATATCTTTCTCGGAATTTTTGAAGATTGACTTGACAGGGAAGGCTTATGATGAGGCCCAACTCCAGAGTTCTGATAACAGCTTAGGTTTGTTCCGTGTTCATGATCCGATTTCGTATAAGTTATCACCAAGATATTTTGTTGTCAGATCGCAGTGTTTCGCACGACTCCGGGTTTGGTGGAAGACGTGTTGCCACTAGCGCTGGTGCGACGTTCGAACAGCCGCTTACGTCTGCCGTCTTTCGGAGAATACATCAGGTTAGTTTTCTTTTCCGGCGATTTTTTGTTGGCTTGGAACGCGAGAAATCTGCTAGTTCGGTCAGACTCTTTCTACGATAATTCTATGTCCAAAATTTTTTTCTGTGATATCAAATTATTATTATAGATATCTCACCTGTTGGTCCGATAGGGTTCTCTTCTACTAATTTTTTAATGCCCCCAGAATTTCGTTGTGGAGGGAATCCATCTGAATTTGATGTGAGTTGGTTGCCAGCATGATAGTTCAGTATCTTGAGTGATGTGAGGGTGTGTAATCAAGTTCGTTTCATAAAATGAGAATCGTATATGATGTGGTTTTCACGTACAGAAACATACGAAAAATACCACCTTTTTCACACTTGCTTTCCAGTTGTGAAATCATCTAAACAAGAAGCGTTGAAATGTGCTCTTGGTCCTTGAACACTTCAATAAAATATATTTTTCCATAAAGTGAGCTAGGCAGTGTTAGCTCATCTGAAACTATTGTGGTGTAAGAGGCCATCACGAATTAATTCGCTTTCCACAATGAATTTTTTTTTCTCAATTTCCAAGTGGGGAAGATTAACTTTTCAGAAGATATGAGTTGAAAACGCTGTAAATCTTCTTTTAAAAGCTTTTGCTTCAAGCACAAGCTTGCGCTAGTCGAACGACGTCAGAAAATACGCACGTAATTGATGGCGAATCAGTGAGTTCACATGACCAATGGAGCTTCTTGTCTTGACATTTTACTAATTTATAAGTGTTCTGGCTCTGGATGGCCTTCTCTAGGTTTTCACTGAGATGCTGGGATGAGTGGTGCTTGGATAATTTTTTTTAGTCTGCTATAATATCCAAGTTTCAGGATAAGGGATATCTGTTGAAATGACATTTAACATGCAGTATACACTACACAGTATTTCCAACCCATAGAAATGTAAGACCTGTGTAAGAAAAAATAATTTGGGCTTGCTGTCATCATTTTCCCACGCACGTGACAAATTTTGATGAATTACCTCCAGCAATGACGGATGCATCTCTCTCCTTTTGATGTGAATGCTTTTTTTTTTTTTACACAGAATGCAACCATTTCTATACAGTACACTAAGGCACAGTATTTTTACCACAGGTATTTTTTCCTTGCAGTTATTTTTTCAATTGTTGCTTTCTCGGAACGTAAGCTGTGAATTTTTGTAAAATGGGTTCATTGTCCTTTTTAGGTTGAAAACGCCCATGTGAATCATGCACAGCTCCTGTGTGATAATCCCATAAATCCCTCTCCTCAATTTTCAATAGTTGTAATGCTTGAAAGGCATCAGCTCTGCTGGTGATTATCCCCATGCCCTATTCAGTCACTGTAGGTTAGTTGTGCAAGCCCTGAAGAGGCTATTTTTGTAGGGTGCCAACAATTTTTTTCCTACATCCTTCCCTTGCTTTTGATGCATTGCCTTCCCACCCGCTATATTCAATGCTCCAAATGTTGTTCTTTGATTTGAAGAATGCTGTTTAAATAAGAGATGAAATAATTTCCAATTGGTAGACATTTTTTCTCTCTTTTTATAAATTATTTAGCAAAACGCCGATTAAGGTATATTAAGTAAGTCCAAGGGAAAACAAGACTTTTTCAACGTAGGGACACGGTGCAAGAATTACTGTACGTCCGTATCTTGGGGTCTCACATAACAGTGATACAATAATATAATTAATGGAGAGGATTTATAGTGCAATTTTCTTGTCAGTTCTTGTGTTCTACGTTTCAGCTGGGTTTTCGGAAAATAATCTGAATTCGCGTGAGAAATCTGAGATTTTTTTTCTATTTTTGGCGGGTTTTTCGTGCCTTATTCTTTGGTCGAACTACCATTCAATGTCTGAAAATTGCCTCCAAATTCTGGGTTATCCATGAGACGCATGCGCTATTCATGCCCATGTGATATCCCAGCCCATGGAAGGGAATACTCCCAGCCCATGAAAGGGAATTCTGTACTCTGAGCCCATGGAAGGGAATACTGTCAGCCCATGGAAGGGAATACTGGGTAGCTTGCGTTCTCAGATGGGGACCCCAGAAGTGTACAGCTCTGCTCACATGCATTGATCTTGCATCTGGGGCGTTTGGACTAGGTTATGAAGGCTGTTCCTTTCCCTGTGACTTCGTGAATATGAAGAAGCAGAATGTGCGCACATTGGCACTGATTGTTTGCACATTCACTTACCTCCTTGTTGGTGCTGCAATTTTTGACGTTCTGGAATCTGATAATGAGCGCAAGGAGCGTGAGGCATTGCAAGGTGTTGAATAATTTATTTTCCTCTCTGCGTGATGGCATGGTGGTAGCAACCCTGAAATCGAAGCATGTTTTTTTTTTATTGGCTGATGTGATTTGAGAACCGTAGATTAACTACAGGTGGATTAACTGCAATGATACTCAGGAGACCTAAAAATGAATCTCATAGCAAGAATTCTCTGGTTGATTAAACTTTTTGCATTGAATTAATGAACACAGAAAGATGAAAAATTGATGTTTTAACAGTGTCGCTGTAGGAAGTCCACCTGTCCCATTTTGCGAGTGTGGGGTTGACTAGTATTGCTAACAACTTTTTCGGGCGATGGTTGTAACAGAAATGGAGTCCATGATCTTCAAGAAGTACAATATAACCAAAGAAGACTATGCATTCATGGAACTGGTTGTGCTTCAAACCGTACCACACCGAGCTGGACAGCAATGGAAGTTTGCTGGAGCATTTTATTATGCAACAACGGTTTTGACTACCATAGGTGGGAGCTACTGGGTATTTTCTCTCTGAGGGCACGTTTTAGCTTATGAACTTCGCTTCAGGTTATGGGCATTCCACTCCGAATACTGTGGCCGGCAAACTATTCACCATGTTCTATGCAACTATTGGGATTCCTTTAGGCCTTGTTATGTTTCAGTCAATCGGAGAACGTCTGAACAAATGCAGTTCCATGATCATTAAACAAGTGAGTTCTCAGGCGTGATTGAATAGTGAAACTGGTCATGATTTCTGTTTCCGTTTTTCTCTTCAGATCAAGAAAATGACAAAAAAGGCGCAGATACAAGCAACTGAAATGAATTTGATCTCTGTGGTAATCACGCTGTCAATATTGATCATCGTTGCTGGAGCCGCAGTGTTTTCTAGATACGAGGATTGGTCTTACTTTGACTCCACCTACTACTGTTTTGTTACGCTGACAACAATAGGATTTGGAGATTATGTTGCATTGCAAAATAATGACGCTTTGGCCAGTCAGCCCGAATATGTGGCGTTTTCGCTCATCTTCATCTTGTTCGGACTTACTGTGGTTGCTGCATCTGTCAACTTGCTTGTGCTTAGGTGAGATTTTTATGCATTGTATTTGATGAATCTTCGCAGTCTTTCAAATGAACCCCTTTTGGGCCTCAAGTGATTCATCATAAAAACTCCTCCGTATCTGAGAATCGGGTTTTTCATCCAATTGTATACCCTGGATGTAGAAAAATTGTGAAGCAATGGATAATTTTATGCGTGATGCTCAATGGGATTTTTCCTGCACAAGCTATGTGACCATATATCTTTAAACTAAAAAAATTACGCTTACCTGTTGCCATTTCATTCCAAGGTTTGTGACGATGAACACGGTGGATGAAAGAAAAGATGAACTCGAAGCCCTGCAAGCTGCCCAAGGAGCAGTACGATTAGAAGGAGACGTGATCACCACAAACGGCTCCATAATTAGCGGGCACTTCGGTCCCCGAGGAGCTGGTGCCATGGATCGCAGGATCCTCTCGTCTCTGTCACTCTCTGACATAGGAAGCATTTGTAATGACTGCGGCGCCCTGAGGCCATTTTGTTGGCCAAAAAAGACTACAAAACCGCCGCATTTGAGATATGGACGTCATCACTTGCACAATTTTGGTCACGTCAAATCAAGCTTTCTTTCTGCTCCTCGTGCTTCGCAAATTAGACTGAAGACGTTTCAAATCACGCAGGAAGAAGATGCTTACGACAATAGGGACCAATTTGAAGACGATCAACCTCCGACTCGTGGTCGACCAAGAATCGATTCTGAAGAGCATTCTTACTATGACGAGGGGTATTATGCTCCTTTACCAGATGATTTTTGCGCCTCAGAATCTAAAAGAGTTTCAATTTAATTTTTAATTTCGTGATTTAAAGCGAAATTGGATGAAACAATTTTCTGCATCCTGTAAGAGATGGATTTTTCATCATTGCATTTTTTTCAATGCCTCAAATGATCTTTGATATCAGCTTGCGTTATTTTTTTGATTGATACTATCTGTGCTGAATGTTGGATTAATTGGTTGAATTTTCAGGCATGATTGTTCCCGTCTAACGATTTTTTTTTCATTATGGTTCTTCGTCTTCTGGATGTAATTACCGGACCAGAAGATAATGATGTTATGCATGCATTTTTGAATTGCCTCTGAATGCAAATTTTCGATTACAGCTTACACGGTTTCGGGGGTGATGGAATAAATGCCTGGTGGTGGTGATGTGGTGCTAACAAGTAGTTCTGTATTTCTTCTGCTTCATGATGGTGGATAGCCAGAAAATGTGAGGAGAAATGATCCAAAGGGGGCTGGAAGAAATCTTCCCAATAGGTAGTAGATGTCGTATTCCAAATTTCGAATCGCGTATATCACATCAAGGAGGAATGACACGAAGACGTTGATCGCGTTGTTCAGGATTGTGGCTGGAAGTCGGAATGAGGGAACTGGTATTTGCCTGGGTTCTGCCATGCCAGTTCTGTCCAAGAGAAATTTTGTTATGAAATTATCAGGACGAAAAAGCATAGAACTCTCATTATCCCGGCTGTGATTAATGTGCCTCATATTATGAATCAATGAGAATCAAAAAAGCAGTCTGTGAACTTCGGAATTTCATCCCGTGCCACTCGACTTTCCTCCAAAAAGAGATTCCCGATTAATTTTCACTGTTCTAAACTAGAAATTTAATATTCTCTTCTGTTTAATATGTTTTTCAGGCAAAGACAGTTGGCCATTAGCCGGTATAATCACAGTTCTATCTCAATTGATAACTTGGTTTTTGCTTACTGGCTGGATCCATTGGATACTACAATTGTGCCCAGCACAAGAAAAACCACGAATGCGATAGATGAAAACATGTCACGTTTTTCTCCGTCGAATTTTTCAAAGATACACTGGCTTTCATGTAAAGTCACAGGCAGACTGAACAAGTTCAGGGGGGATCGTTCGCGGAAGAAATCGAGTTACGTACACTCCCGATTTCCAGTGAAGCGTTATTTCTTTCTGTTACGCGTTGTCGACTTGAAGCGTAGGGGAACTTTTTTACTGGTTTCTCCGACTTCTCTTTGTTTTCCTTCTCTTGTTCAACATAATCGATCAATGCAATTCCGTATACCACCGTTCCATTTTTTTTCGTCTTCACGGAGCATCTTGATGTTTCAAGAGAGTTTCGGTGGACGGAATTTTGAAAAGCATAGAATCTATTTGTAAATTGACACGCCATTTTGGTGCTTAAAGGTCGGGGCAATTCTGGATTGTTCTATGTTCTTGGTAAATTTCGTAGTCTTACGAATGCAGGAAATGCTGTGTAAACGGCAGTATATTTTTTCATTGGCGGTTGCCATGTTCTAGTGCTTCTTGAAGCTTGGCACAACATTTTGAATTTTTTGTACCCATGGTTCCCAACAGAGGTTTCCATCAGATTCTTGGACCAACTACGAAGCTAGAAGCTCAGTTCACTCTTGATATTGGTGAGGTTCATTTTCTACTCATGCACTGTCAAACATGACAGTAGAAAACGCATTTAGGTCTAGTCATACATGGGAAGAGGGAGAGCGTACAAATTATAAACCAGCCCTTATACTTCTCAGAAGTGACTATTTTTTTAATCCGCGAAAATGCTGTGGGAGCAAGTTGAAAGTTTCATAATCAGCATGGCTCAAGCGCAGCCTTGCATTTTCAGCGTTGGGTTCTTTCTGTTATCCGATCAGAATTTAAAGAAAAGTGAAGCAAACATTTTCAACAGCTTAAGTTGTATATCTCATGGCTCACTTCCAACAACCGTAAACCTTAGTATTGAGATTCAGAATCGACCACCGAAAGAAGAAGCAGAAGACTATCCCTCAACAGATCACAGGAGCAGTTGCCTCTATGTCCGGAACACCTTTTGAATTCTCTTAGAAGAGACTATGTAGATGCCATCAACTTCGTCACCTTGAAATTAAATTGGTTATTTAGAGTTTTCCTTCTGCTTCCAAACGTTTCCTCATTGACTCTGGCATTGCTGGGGGTGGTGGTCTGGGGATCCCAAACGCCACCTTCACGGCATCGTAGATGAACCATTGCAGGGCAGTGAGAGTACCAATCATGAAGATCCTTGGACCCAAGCCCTTCCACAAGCCTGAAAAGCGTACAGTGATGAGGTTAAATATTTGAATCCTGAATTTGAGCAAAAAATTAATCTTATATGTTCGTGGGGCACTAACCGGACCAGCCGAGTCGCTTAGCAATATCCATGGCAGTTGACCCTCTGTCCTGGTTCAGTTTTGACACAATTGTGTCAGCAGGGTGGGAAACAATTGCACAGAAAACGCCGGCAATGTAGCCAGCAGTGAAAGTGACTGCCAGTTGTTCCTCCTTTGTGCACTGCTCTCTAGGTTTTGGTACTACGTGCTGGTACAAAGCTTCCAATGTCCTCTCAAAGCAAGCAAACTGTAGAAGCATGAAGTTTATGAAAGAATAATTTTCAGAACATGCAATGCCAAGATGCTGAGATTTTAACCTGCCAGTTTCAAGAATCAAGCCAACCTCATTTACTTGAGTACCACGCTATTTAATTCTCAAAATTAAGAGGGAGAAAAGGGAATGCGCGCATCATGAGTAGGTATACATTTTTCGATAAGTTCGGGTATGCATTACTTTTGATTCTAAAGGAAAATTTTGGATCAGTTTTATCAGAAACCATCCTTGTCATAGAAATGACTAAAAATCAGATGAATTCAGGACCAATTCGTGTCTGAATTCAAATTTTGGTGTTCTTGAATTTTAATACTGTACTGTATATCAGTTGTAGAGTGACAAAGAATGGGAGAAAAATGGGATGCAGGTCTTACTCAGTGATACAAGTTTATGAGAATTTTTGACTGAGAAATAATGATGTGTGTCTTATTTGAGTGGGCGCTTTTACTTCAATAAGTACAGTAATCCTCTTGACGCAATGTACTTGGACAAATGTTATTTTCATAATTTTTTATTTCAGTTGAGATCACCCAGCTCAAATTTTGGACACTGCGCTGAGTTTGATGTCTTAGCCTTAGGGGCTCCATTCATTTGTTGCTCTTTTTTGTAATTTTTTGTACTCACCTTCATCATTGTGTAAGGAATTTGTCTGCCCCACAAGGGTGCCAAACCCTTGTAAAACCCTCCAATGCCTTCTTGTTTTGATATAATTGATGCAGCTTTTGTCATTGACGATGTAAATCCTGGTGCAGTCTGAATTCTGACCTGGAATGGGATCAATAAACGTTAGAACTGAGGCTTTAGTTAGTACGTAATTGCTACTTGACGGTTACCTTCATAGCCTCAAAAGGAGCAAGGCCAACATCCGCAAAGAATTCTGCTGATGCCGAGGCTGCCAAATACAAAGAGGTCCTGTACATGTACGAGTATTCTTCCCCCAGCATTCCACACTTACCGCCATCGCTGCCCTTTGGGCAGCTGCTGTTAGCCTGCTGACACTTGGCAGTCTTGATTGGAGAAATGAAAGTTGCTAAAGCGCTGTTGTTGTTCCACATCTTTGAGCGAATTCAGTTATATCTTTTATAGTCAACAAGGTTGAAAGAAAAGGGAAGGATTCCAATAAAAATAATGAGTAGATCCTGCGAAAAAACTAAACACATGGACTGCGTTAGGTTTGTACACTCATAAACTGATCCATTGAAACTGTCCTGTATTGCCATGGTTAATGCAAGAAGAAAAAAAAACACGAGCATTTGATATCGATTTAGTAGTTTTTTAATCTGTCTTCTTTTTACAGAGTTACTCACAGTTGTGACTGATACATCCTCGTCCACATACTTTTTTGTACTCTGGATTAAATTTGCATCCCTTAAAAATGCATAAGAAGCTTTCTTTCCAACGTTACAAATTGAATAAATTAAACTTGCCTTGTCAAGCTGCATGATTTGAATTCATTCAAATACGAGGGACAGTACTCATATAGAACTTCCTATTGAGGAAATTGTATTTTTTCTGAAGCAGAGTTGGCTTAGCAATCATAAGTTTATGATCGTAAATGATTCAGGTCCATTTCTCGAGCAACTTGCGACCGACGGAAGTTCTGGTATGCTCGAATTACATCGGAATATTTGACACACTTATCACAAAGCACAATTGAACCTGTCAAAGTCAAACTTCGACGGACCAGCGGAAAAAATCGAGAAACAAGAATTTATTTTTGAAGAAAGGAAGAAATACGGAAAATTGTTGATGATAATCTAGGCTATAAAATTTAAATCACCAGTTGACAGGATGCCGAAACTTGGGGGGAGGTTTTATTTGCCCAATATTAGGCTTTCTTTTTCTTTCCAAAAGCATCGTTTCGTTTTCACAGCTTTTATCTTTCCCGTGTCAGTAAAAAAAAGTAGCCACAGACCTGCAGAAAATCGGAGTAATGAAAGTTTGAGGGATGGAGCCTTCCAGTTAGGGAGATTTTTAGTATGTTGTTTCTTAATGTATTCTGACAGCAGGTACTTGAAAAAAAAATCGAAATAGGTGCTTGGGATTGACTTGGGATCGTTCGTCCAAATCAATAACTTCTTACTGAAGTTTAATCGTATGCGGAAAATCCAACACACTGAAGCTGATCATTTGCACTGCATTTTTGATTCGTGTTAGTCTTAGCCGTTCTGCCACACCATTTAGCAATCGGAAAAGCACTTGAGAACAGGAAAAAGGTCTCATAGCCAGGGTTCGAACTCAACATTTGTTGTGGACAGGCGTCGTCCTGGGCTGAGGCCAAGAGCCGTGATGGAGGCACGGAGAGACGGTCCGGGAGGGATTTTAAGGAAGGCATTGGGAAGGGAACGAACGCATATATACCCTGTGCTTTGGCAACCTCCCTGTTCCTTTGAGTCTCGTTTGCTTCCCTTTCTTCTGTTGGACTTTTCTCTCTCCCTCTCTGGGATACGGTGTTCAAGTCAACCTGTGTTCTATTGCTGAGCACCGTGGTCGTATGTACCTTTCTGGATGGAATTGAATCGAATTCTTCGGGAAATTATGAAATTAAGTCATTGATTTGATCATGGAATTTGAGAGTCGAGAAAGCTCAGTAATTCTTGAACTCGTGGTTTGATTTCTGCTTGCCGGTGAGGTTTTTTTTTAGCGGGTTGTACGAGTCCTAATTTACTGGGAGCGAACCCTACTGTATCCTTGGTATGCCTAACTGCGTTCTTGGCTTCGATACAGAGCCGGAAATCATTTTCCTATTGAAAAAAGTGTATATCACCTAAGAAGGTGATACAAAACCAATTTTACAGCAAGCATAAACTTTTAATGTGTGATGTATATCCCTTGAATGTATAGACAATCTTATTGTAAACGAACTGAAAAACATGGGTTGCCGAATTGCTGTCAGCTTTCACTTGTCAAAAGAGGAATATCATCTCTTCACCATTTGAGAAACATGGGTCGAAACTATTGAGAAGCTCTCGAGTAAAGGGTCGAGAGGTTCAGAATTATTGGAAAATCGTGATCCGTCACTGAGTTCTCGTTATTGCAGAAATGGTCTAATTCGTGGAAGGTTTTCCGAGCTATTGTATCGTCTCAATTGTTGCTCTTTTTTTTACATTTATGAGGAAATGTACCGTGCATTGAAATATTCAAGCAAAATTGAAACATGATTGCCAGAATTGTTGCGATTTTTTGTTTTTCTGTGAGAATGTACGGTGCACCAAAATATTCAAGCGAAATTGAAGCGGTCTGATCATCCTTCGTCGTCGCGATATATAAAGTAGTACTGTATTGTACTGTACAAAAAATAGAATCTCCAACTTCAAAGATTGAGATTCAATGATAAAACTATCGATGTTCATTGTCTCACAGAAAATAGGTGCGAATATATGAGGGTTGTCCCAATTCCGCTTGGCCCTGGGTATTTTTAGAGTAGGTACCACTTGAAAAAAAATTATATGATGGTGCCCATGCAATTGTTAAGCTGTGGTTTTTTTCAGATTTTATACAAATTTTCAGATTTATAGCACTTCATAAGTGAAAATTTTCCAGTTCCAGTGCGAGTTCTCCGTTCATATCACGAGCTGTTAAAACTTTTTCAGGCCAGACAGAAGATTGAAATTTGTTCGTTTGTTTTCAGCATGAAATTTCTTACACCTTTTAAAATTTTCCAATTTTTAAAAAGATTATTTCGTTCGCAACGAAGGAAGATGTAAGTGCATTTTGCAAGTTTTTAAGAGCGAGGGTTCATTTCCAAGTTTACTCTTCAAAAACATCATCCGAGGTCTAGTTTCTGGCTGCACTATGTTTTTCTTAGTACCCTGAAATTTTATTAATTTTTTCCATCTTCTGCCTTGAGATCAGAAAGCAGGGTTAGGAGACGTCTGCCAAAATCCCTTATGATCTCTACCCCCCCCCCCCCCATAATTATTGAAAAATTTGAAAATGTACAACGTGTAGGAAAGTTAATGCTGGAAACGACATAAAATTTTCAATTTTTGGTGTAGCCTGAAAAGTTTCCACAGCTTGTGTTATGAATGGAGAATTCTCACTTGAGCTGGAAAGTTTTCACTTCTCATCATGCAGTAAATGTAAAGATTTGCACAAAGATCTGAAAAAATTCCAGAACCTTACAATTGCATGGGCCGCTGGTACATATACTGTAATTTTTTGCAGTGGTACCTACTCTAAAAGTAGCGAAGGCCAAGTGGAAGTGGAACAACCCTGGTATATACGTAGTAATGGACATCCACAAAATAGTACCCAATGATCATTGCGTCCATGACCTTGAAATTGATTCACTCATGCCATGCATTTTGATTAATTTATGCAATCGTTTTTCATAATTTCATGAGCATCTTTCGTTTTGTCTTCTGAAATTGAATCGTGGTGCATCCATGCGCACTTTTGCGAAGACCTTCGTGAAAATTTAATTTGAGGAGCTTAAAGACAATGGAGGTGCTGCAACGAGAGTGTTATTTGGGAAAGGCTTATCGCGTGTAATGAAATACTGTGCAAACTCGCGCGGAAGCAAATTAAATCTCGAATTAAAATCGAGGAGGTTCAAATAAGTGTGTATAGTCGGCTTAGTCGCCGCGTTCACAGTTTCCTAATCGGCAATTCGTAAATTTTTGAAATCAAATATCTTTAAAAAAAAACATTTGGCGAATTGAGGTGAATACTGTACTTCTGGGGAAAATGTTTATGCTTGGGAATTATTTCGTTCCATCAAAACTTTTGGTCCACGGGAGCATGTGGCTGGAATGCCTCGCAATCTTGATATCGTCGTTTCTCCGCCGTTTCAATCTCCTTTTGAATGTATCTGTCTTGAAGTTTTTCGCGGAATCGCCTTTGAATACATTCGAAGCCTCGATTTACCAGCAAGAAGAAGCTTAAAACTTCGATTCCGATACGGTGCACAAGTTCGGACGAAGCTTCTGAAGTCGTGTATGTGAGATTTCCAGAAAGTATTCCCGTCATTTCTTTGGAGTTATCTATTTTTGTTGGGGACAGGGAACCTAGTTTCTCGTGTCGAGGCTCTTCCTTTGTCAGAGGGTGTTCGACGGTTTCAGTTCATGAAGCATCGATGCGAAGAAATTGAGCCTGAAGGGGTTCCCCGAGACCATCGATCGACTTCCTCCTTGAATCCCTTCCATCTCCCTCTAAAAGGCTTAATTCTCTCCGACATTGGTATCGTTTGAAGTACAATTCTTTTTCTGTGTCTTGGAAGTATCCTACGTATTTTGGGAGCCCGTTTTCCTCCTTAGGATTGAATTCAGGAAATTTTGACGAGGAAATATGCATAGTCACAATAAATGTTGACGTTTTCAGTGTCGAAATCGCGTGGCGCGTGACCGATTCGGACCTAGTGTATTTTTGTTCTTAACATTGATGACTATGATATTTTTCAACAACGTTTTTAATATTCAGTAGTAGGATGATGTATTTCTCGAGCAGAAGTATTTTCATCAATCTTCGCCAAAGAATACCGGTAAATGCGTAATATAGCTTAGTTTGAATACCTTGTCTTGTGTTCTGCTTAGTTGAAAGGATTTTCCTTCAAATTTAATTTTCAGCATTTCCAAAAAAACGGACTAATACGGGTTTACGAGGGTTGGTTCATAAATTTTTATAGTTTTTCGCGGCTCGGGAGTCTTGAATGAACGGCAATGTGTGTGATTTTTTAAATACGTTTTTTTTTCTTATACTGTAGTAAGACAAATTTCAGACGCACAACACAAGTTCTGATCTCTCCTCGTCTGTACTTAAATCCAATGAAATGGAGAGTTGAAATGATTCCCATCCCCAAACCTTTCGGATTTTTTTTACGAAGAGCAGGTGCGGTACAGTATTTTATTCTACCCTGACGGCATACGTTCTCAATGATTGCTTTACGAAGCCCCGAGGGCTCCTCGTCTACTTCATTGCATGGCTACTTCTGGAAGATTGAAATAAATTTACATGAAGACTTCAAATCTGCGAAGGAGAAGCAAGTGCGTCATTCAACGTTCGAGTGAAATAAGATACCAAATGCTGAAAAATTAATTAATTTGTCAAGCCCAAAAAAATAAATTAAATTATGTATTCCACGTAGGATAAAGCACGCAAGGCGCTGCAACAAATTCCATTGTAAGAGGAGCTTTGCGAAGGGGGATTCATTGTACGGAAAAGAAGCCCGTTGGGTTCGGATGGGTGAATAACTCTCGTTACACGGAATGAATTACTTTCGGAAAGTTTATGGTTCACTCCGGAAAGAATCCAGGGTAGGGACTGAAAGCGCGTCCTTAATTTCGTCCCCCAAAGTGTGTGATAACTGTCCTTCGCCCTCCCCAGAAAATATTGACCTCGTCAACGTCGCTGTGCTTCCCCCGGGGGCTTTATCTCCATTTCCGCCGTCGGTCCTTCTTTTCTTCTTCATTTTTTTCCCTACTCTTCTCGCTCCCCACACTCGCGCACACACGTGCCGTCACAGTCGGAGATGGCAAGCTGCCAAAATGTTCGCGACGGCGCCAGGGTTGCCAGTCTGTTTATATTTCCTGTGTGTACGGAGGCTGGGCGAAGAGGTTCCTCCTGCAGAAGATCCCGGGGTTCCCTTGTGCAACGTCGTCGCCAGCAACCCACCGTCCCCCCCGCAGAAGAGGCGAAACCATTAAAGAAAACATATACTGTATAGTGAGAACCGTAACGGAAAAGTGAGAAGCGCGTAATTTGAGAAATAAGGCTGTGATACGAAAATGCAATTGATGTCGCGAGTCTCGTTTTCTACCTTGGACAGATCAATGTGAGGCTTTCGTTCATATTTTTCTCTCCATTCGTATGATAGTTAGAATACATTACTGTACTGTAGTTGTGAACTTTCTCTTTAATGAAATTCAGGGGATCAGAAAAATTTCATTCTAGGAAGAATTGTATTGCACAGAACCTTTATACAGTAGTATGGTTTGAAACCTCTGCCTATAAATGGGACAGAAAAAAATCGTTTCATTTTTTTTTTTTTGGATGAAGACACTTCTGAATTATGCCTTTTTCGCAAATTACTACTATAGTACATATTTTGTTGCATGTAAAGCCGATTGAGAAACTATTTTTTCTGTATCGTTGGAATAACGAGCCACGTTTACTCTGGTTATTTCCTGGACGCTGTGTTTGTTACTTTTTTTTTTTTGCGAAAAAAACGTTGGATTGAATCTGAGTCATGAGAAGTGCTGCATCGCATACTGAGGTTCATATTTCTCATAGATGAAAAATTACTCAAGAGAAGGTTTTTTAAATGTTAAATACAGTGTTGGTCGAACCCTGGTGAGGTGCACGTTTTTATGCGGAAAAGTTCTTCAATTCAAGTTTTCGAGTCGTATATTGACTATTCTATTTTTTTAGACATTTGAAAATATCCCCAGGAAACTGTTATGTTGTCATGCAAATTTGCCCACGTTGTCTGTAGAAGTACATTGCTACGAAAATAAATTAAACAGAATGTGACAATGTTTATACACGTTTTGGGATGAGCAGATTACTATGCATTTAAAGAATTTATTGCACGTTGGAAGTGCAATGACGAGAAGAGATGAGTTTCTGTGCCCATCCAGGAAATTTACAACCGACTGTATTTCTTTCCAGAGACAACTTGGAAGACTAAAACCTGGAAGCGTGGAGGAGACGGACGACGACGAGCGCGTGAATGCCGCTCTTCGTGAGCAGCAGGTCGGTGACCTCTTTTTTTTTCTTCCCTCGTGCTTTACCAGTGTATCTGAGAGTCTTATTCGATTAAGCCTTTGTGTCGCTTCTTGGGATTTATGCATGCGTGCATGTGTTTCCACAGCCGCATTTTGAAAACTCCGCATCATTATTGAGCGTAATAATATCGCAGAATTCTCATATTTTAGCTTACAGAAATATTGAAAGACGAGGAATTTAGGTCATTTTTCATGAGACCATCGATCTCGTCAGATTCAGGCATGATGTCACTTTTAAGCCCAAACAAACACATTTTCTGTGCATTTACGGCTACATTTCAAATTTTTAATGAATGTGAAAAATGCATCTCCTTCATGAAGTCTATTTTTTATAACCAAAAATACTGTACCATGGTTCCACTCGCATGTTGAAACTAATCCTAACGAAGTTTCGTTTATGCCGGTAATGATTTTTAAAAATCAACATTTAACAGCACTGCGAAGTCGTTTCGAATTGGAAGACATCTCATAATACTGACTTCTATTTTATTTTTCGGAGGAGGTTGACATGCAAAACGTGTGATTTTTGCAGCATTTTGCTCTACAATATTTTCATATAAATGTATTGGTCGTATGTAGGCTTTGGCTGAAGAAAAGCTAGCCGAACAAGCTGCGGATTATGAAGATCGGCTGACGGAGCTCCACTCGGTCATCGCTGAGCTGACCCGAAGGATGGAGATTCAACGAGCGCATACGATCCGGGAAGAAGTTGAAGAAGATGAGGAAGAAGAAGAAGATGATGATGACGAGGATGAGGAGGATCCTGGGAAGACTTCCGAGGCAAAAGAAAAGGAAGATACCAATTCCAGCTCGGATTTTTCGGAATCCGATGTGAGTTTTTTTTCTCCTTTTTTGGAGGAGGACTCGTGTCATTTCATGGGATGATTTGATATGCGTGTTTATCCCAGATGTTGGCAATGATCGTGAAGCCTATGGATGGGGCGAGGATTCTGAGTAATGGCAGCATCGAGGAGCAAGATAATGTCGTCACGCAGGTCCTCAAACGCGAGCTGAGGCTTTTGCAGGTGAGCCAATGGTGCAATGGAGCCTTTTGCATGATTCGATTTTGAGTTGCGTCTCTTTTTTGTACATGTATCGCCTCTCGGCCATTACTGGGAAGGGATCCGTCAGTTGCACAATGTGTTGATATGTTGACTATAATTAATTCAATAAATATACCTACGTTATTCGTAAATGTAATCCTGTTGAACACCAGTTGATGACTGCGAGGTTCGAAATTTGTATCAGCGTAAAACATTCGTCATTCATGAAAATGTAGCTCATTTTCCTCAATGCAAATGGAGGCCTGGAGCTGGGATTCACGTTTTTATTATGATTTTGGAAATGATGCATCTCAGGAGGAGAATGAGCGACTGCGGACAAAGGACAGGGACAGAGAGACGGAGATTGCTCAGCTGACTTCAAAATTGGATTCTCTGGCGTTGAGCCTGCCTTCCTCTCAGAGCTCATCAGGATCTAAACCTAAGTCGAAAGAACGGCATGGAAATGGATCATTCGGTCATACGAACAAGGATCATCGTCTGGAGATTGAGAAGCTCGTCGCGAAGCTTAACAGCGCTAAGGCAACAAATGATCTTCTCACTCTTCAGTTGAAGGAATCTCGGTTGACTGCTGAGAACATGTTTATTGCACTGACTAAGGTACTTTCGCTGTTTTGATGATTTTTTGTATTATTTTTTATTTATTTATGTTTTAATACGTTAACTTGGGCCGAAGATGTTTTAGATGAAGCACAGAGGTTCAAGTTTGAGTTAGTAAACAAATCTGGAATGAGTCGGCAAGTTTTTTTTTCTATCTAGAAAACATACTTAATTTGCATTACCGCATCAGTTTTACTTGTGAATATTTAAAATCTCCTCCGTTGAAGAACATTTAAACTTAATCTTGCAATTCCGTCAATTAAAAAAAGTCACCTGCTAAACTATCAAAAACTCGAGTGCGATGACTGAGGACTAATTCCATCCAGGGAGTGATCGCTTTTCTTGCTCCCCTTATTCTCTCCATTTCAACCTTGATTTTAAATACAGTATTGTACCAGCGCTCATTATTGAATTATTAAATAAAGTATTACTTTGAACGAATTCCTCTCACTTCTGTTCATATTTATTCGATATGATGCACATTATATGACTGGGACTTATGAAGTATCCCTAGCTCAAGCAGCATGTATTCAAAATACGTTTTTCTTCTTTTGTAGGAAGAATCAAATTGCGTGGCCTTGCAAATGGCCATGGAAAATAGCAGAAGGACTGTCAAAAGCTATGAAGCTTTACTGGGGTTGATGGATGCGGAACTCTCTGTTCTTTTTGTTAATTGTCGGCTGGCGGGAATTTCCGTGGGTACTCCGAGCGTGTCAGGTCATGGAAGTCCTGCGATTGGTAAAGACGGGTTGCCAAAACCCCTTCCAGGTAAGCGCCTTAGTTCACTGCGACGCAGGAAACAGTGTAAAAAGCTTGGTGTTTTTTTTCTTTCTTCTTTCATCGACGCAACTATGGAATGCCCGACATTGTTCGATAGACAAAGAAGAAGCTTCACGGATGTTAAATCGAGCGTACGACAGGCGGAATTTCGCGGATGCATTCGCCCGACAGCTGGTTGTGGAATTGGACGCTGCTGCGACGGAAACGGGCAGCAAAAGGAAAAGCGTCGACGAGGACGTTGACTGTCGTTTACGGGCGCATGCAGAACTGTGGAAGGCGGAAACTGAAAAGGTCGCCAAAACCGTGCAAAGTCAGCGTGATTCTGCCGACCCGAACAACCGTGCTGCTCGAAGGAGGCTCAATAAACCCCGGAGCTTCGATCACGAAGAAAGCCCTGATCTTGATTTTGAAGCTGCTGTTTTAGTCCAGGTGAGACAGTTTATTCGAAGATTTTGATGCCCCCTACAACATTTGCCCATAGTGTACAGTATTTAGTCGAGTCCCTCGCTTCCCCGTTTGAAATTCCTTGAACAAAGGTTTTGCAAAAAAAATTCGGGAAGCATTTCCCTTAAATCCGTCACTGTATATTCAATTCCTTGATTTTTTGATTCTTTGAAATAAAGACACTTGTGATTTTAATTGCCCCGTGAATGTCATATATGGTCGTCTTTCATTCCGGGGACCACCCCCCCCCCCCCCCCCCCCCGATCATTAAAAACAAATAGGGTGTCATGGTCGAGTGCGTGTGATCGTTTTTTGCGTTTCATCGTAATCTTTTATATTATTGTCACTGGAAAATTTGATTCTGCACGTACATATGCATATTTGATCATTCTGATTTGAATTGTTCTTTCTTGATCGTACAGTACATCCGAGCCAAAAAAATTATTCCCGAAATAAATAAATAAAACAAAAATAAGTTGGAGTGATTATTTTATGCACCCAGACGCCGCATTGAATCAGAAAATGAGTTTCGTTTCCAAGAGTTGCAGAGTTGCATCATCATTCTGCCGTATTGAAACCCCCTTCGACAGCGGCCCGAAATTTGTTGAATTGAATTTGAAATACTTCATCGTGTTCCCCATTAATTCCAAGACACAATCGAATATGGATACATTTTTTTTAGCCAAACGTAGCTTGAGGAAAAAGCGTCTCACGTCTATGTTCGAATAAAGATTGAATCCAAAATGCAATTGAATAAATATTTTTGACCACTTCCTTATGAAAGTTAAAATGCTGACATCTTTTCCAATTACTTGAGGATGTCGAATTGGTTATTGACAAGCAAATAAAAGCAACAGGCCGCTGTGGTTCTGAAGAAATTGAATGCATGATGGGACGTGCTTGTTTTATTCGAAAAAAAGTTGTTCCACTTTTTGAGGAATAAAAAATTGAGGCATGTCACGTTTTTATAATCGATGGCAATTTATATTCAATCACGTACACGAGAAGCATGCCTACGTGTTTCCTCTGAAAATTCGTAATCCTACCTTAAATCACGAAGTTTTGCTGCGTTGAAAAATTGTCCGGGTTTTATGGTACATGTAATTGTTCTTATTTTTCTAAGGAATTGTATGCTGTGAAAGAAGAAAAGGCTGATCTGGAATCCCGGTATTTCATTTGTAACAAAGAGCGTCAGGCGTTGGAACTTCAGTGCAATGCCAGTGAAGCGAGAGAAGCAGCGCTGAAGTCCTTGGCCGAGGCGCTGAGAGCCCAGCTTCATATGTTTAACGACCACAAAGCTGGAGCCGATCCCAACGATGAGCCTGGAAAAATGAAATTAGCTTTGAGGGTGCACGAGCTTGGAATTGCCGTGGAAACGTTAATCCAAGATTCGGATATCCGAGAAAAAGAGGCCAGACTCTTCCTGGCTGACCTGAAGAAAGCCAATCAGTAAGTAATGCTGTTATCAAATACTGTACTGATGAAATTCCGTTTTACTGTATTATGACATGTGAGGATTTTTTTTTATCTCGGAGTATAAAAATTTCAATATTTTCTTCATATCGGTCGTTTCGCATGTGTATCCAGAGCAAAGATTCTGTCGAGGAAAGATGAAAAATCAATCTTGAAAGTTCCATGTGTTCTTCAAATTAATTTTTTTTTTTTTTACACTGATGTCGTCGAGGGGTGATCTTCAGCAGGGGTAATTGATAAATTGTATCTTCGAAACAAAATCGTTGAAGGCAAGGTCAGGTGCACATAAAACCAGCTGTGATTCTTGTTATGTCTACGAGTAGTCGCATGTAAATCTTATACACTTGCAAACGTGAACAGCACCCTCAGCTCTTCGAATAGATTTCAGTTGCAAAAAATATCCATGTTGTCAGCAATGGTCAAGTGTTCCAACTGCGTGGTTTATGTCGATTTTCAGGGCCTTGGCAGCCGCAGTTGATCAGTCCAGGAGCAGAAATCAAATGAAATCCCGTCGTCTTGAACAAGAAATCGCTGTTATAGTGGATCGTCATGCCGAAGAGGTTCGGAGTCTGAACCTGAAAATCGGAGAACTGCAGAATCAAGCCCTGGTGCAACAGGCTCGTTTGCAGGAGTTGTACCATCGCCGATATCCATCGACGACTTCTTCCTCTTCTTCGTCCCAACGATCCCTCGCTTCGCCGCCTGGGTACGCCGATCGGCGGAAAAGCAGCGGGAAGCAGCATAAAGGCAAATGTAGCGAGACTCGACTGTGATTTTTTTTATTCTTCCCCTCCAAAATTGCCCATCCGCAATCTGCATTTTCTCTTGGCGCTTTTTTTTTATTGAATTTTTTTCCAAGACTTCTGGAAAAAACAGAAATGGAATCCACATTCTTTTTTATGATTTGGACTGCTTAAAAAGGCAACGCTCGGGTTGATCTACATCCAGCATAAACGCACCGTTCCGATCTTTTTTCATGTTTCTGACGAGACTTTTCGGATTTTTTTTCGGGGTGATGATGCCGATTGAAGTGATCGCGAAGAAAAGCAACAAAATCGGGGTAAGCGCAATTCGATGGTGAGAAAAAAGAGCCTTGTCACACGCTTGTGTGGGAGTATTAGCGCGTCATACGCATGGCGAAAAAAGGGCCGTGTTCGTGACATTTGAGTGTAAGAAAAGACTGGAGGGGTTCTTCAGCGATGTTCGTTATTCTATGGTCAGCAAGCAAAATTTCTGATTACCCGCAAAACCTAAGACGAAGGAACTTTCTCTTGTAAGAGAAAAAAAAATTATGCCCTCTGAAAACAAGCCTGCTCAAAACGTTAGAGTAGATTTATTGAATGTTATCGCGTATTTTTATCACTGCTCATTGTGGAGAAAAAATCTCTCTCTTCCCTAGTCGTGTAAACTGTATTGCACGATGCGATGCAGAGGTGTATCAATATGCTGACGAGACGGTTGAATCCCCTTCTTGATCTGTGGTCGTTGGGGGGGATAGTCAAGTGATCGAAATGACTTTGAGTGAGGAATGCTTTAAAAAAAACGCGTAATTTCGAGTGTCGCGCGAGACCTGATGGAATCACGTATTGACGTCAAGGATAGATGTGGAAAAGTCTAGTGGCCCTCCGATTCGATGGTCAGGTTGAGCAAATATATTCGTAACAGTTTTGCATCTGTCGACGTTCATTCGAAATTTTCCATTTTCCGTGGATTTGATCCTGGCGGGTTGAAAATGAAGCGTCACTACGTTTTAATATCTTCGGAACGGTGTCACTCATCGTTCGACGGTGCTGCGGAAGCTGATGTCATCGTGTTGTCAAGCCACGCGGAGCTTCAGTTTGCGTTTTTTATACGCCATGCTGACGCATCACGTGGATTGTGTACGCGACACTATTTCAGTTGTGGAACGCAATTCACAGCGGGGGAGACTTCCGAGTTTCCCACGGTTGTGAACTTCGAATCTAAGTTTCTGAAAAGCCGTGTCACTAGTCGTTATCATTTCCGAAGATTTTTCTTGTCAAAAAGCACGTACAGTACTGTATTTGTCACGCGGATGAACTTTGTCCTCCTCCTTTTGTTTCCCAAGCCCGTGGGATATCACCGCATAAGGTAATATATATTATGCGGATTGGAGTTCTTTGTTCGTTGAATGGGCTACGGGGCATTTATAGAGAAAACTTTTTTATTGCTGGACGAACAAATTGTGAAGACGAGACTCATCGAACCATCTGTGAGCATCTTAACAATAACATTGATTTCGTTGCTTATTTTGAGTTATACATTTCGGTACCATTAAGGACATTCCGTTAGATCTTGATCCAAGTCGATGAATAGTAACAATTGTAACTTTCGCAGATAAGTTGGTGGCAGTTCAGATGAGTTGAGCCTCACTTCCAGTCAAACTTCAAGGGAAAATAGCTGACAAAATGAGTTATAGGGAGGTTTTTAGTAGGGGAAAGAGCTGTTTTGCTGTAAATAAATAAAGAAGTGCAGATATAGAGAGGGAGCTAAAATGTGTTTTTTTTTGTGCCTCAAACTACAGGATAAACGCATTCACAGGATACTGAACTTGAAGGGTCGGGTTCATTTGCCAATCACTCCATCATTCCTTATTCCATTTGAAACTCATCAAGTTACATTTTTATTGCTTTTCTTTTTCCTTTCCCAATAAAATAATGGCCTAAAGGCTTCCAGAAAACTTGAGTTATGATGGCAAGAGGGGGAAGCCGGAAATTTTTACAGAATTCTTCCTCATGAAATTCACAGATGGAGTAGTTATATTTCAACTTTCCAGGGGTAAACTAATGCACACTATTTCTTTAATAGGTGCACATCATGGGTCGGCTTATTCAAGTAGATTTCAGCATTTCATATACTGTAATTATATTTAAAGAAATGCATACAGGTATTTTGCAATACAGTATTGATGGATCATGCATGTGCGGATGAGAAATTTAAAATTATGCAGGGATGTACTGTACAGATATATAATACTGTAATATTGTTTAGCCGGAACATGTTTTGCAAAAGCCTATACAGTATTATATATTGTATAAGTTATTGTTGCTGTATAATGGGTGTACAATTTTTAGATCCATGACAAAGGAATTCAATCGAAGAAAAAAATAAGGAAAGAATGGATTTTAAAGATTCAGCAGTGATGAAAGTTAGTGATATTGTCGTCCTCAAAAAGAATATAAATGGCAGATGGACAAAGAAAATACTAATTTTCGGTATGGCTTATTCAATGACTTGGTCTTATTTCGGAGAACTGCACTGCAACCTCCTGCTGATGCATTGATGCTGACTGGCTGATTTTTCAAGCCAACCCCCATGATGATGCAGTGCCCATAACTAAAATCGAGTTATTGCCTCTAATAAAAAGATATACGTTTTGTCAAAATTATGTGATCAAGACATCCGTAGGGAGATTCGGTTGTGAAATCAAGTACAGTATATATACCCTACGCTTTTGAGAAAAAAAAACAGCATCTGCAGCCACAGTAACTCGTAAGTGTTGCGTCTCAATACTGTACTATACCAACGCACAAACTTATGTGGGACGGTACCTGAATTTCACCGGTCTGCCTTATAGTCCCATCACCTTAATGTAAGATTTGCCTTCAGGGAGCTACAGGTTCTTGGCAGCGCCTGGGTTCGCCGATTAAGGCAGGAATAATCGTTACTGCGTTAGATACTGTGTTGGCATTTTCAAGCACAGTACGTGTGAATCAGTAAGAAGTTATCAACGAGAGAAGGCACTCTTGTGTGTAGGTCCAGTTGGACAATGCTTGAGTTGGGCGAAATGTAGACGAGCTCTTGTTCTACAGTACTGTATTAGCATTTTTCGTGGTTGTAGGGTATACCAGTCGTACTCGTTTGTGAGTGTGGTGTCCGGATTCGAGCTCGTAGAAACTTTTCTCATTCACGTTTTCAGGAGACATCCTGTGTTCGAAACGCAGAATATAAAGTAGTGTTCTGATTCAGGGTGTAGGACCTGGCAACCTTCGTCCGTTTTCAGTTCTGTAGTCAGTATTACGGTGACAAGTATCATCAATCGACGTTGTCAGTGTTGGATTTGACTTCGACGCACAGTATTTGAATTTTCGTGAGCACAGTCGCTGCCGTCGTCCGACTGTTTTCGAACAGAGGACGATACGAACCGTGTTCTCTTCGGATTTCGTGAAAAGTGTGCATGCTGCAAAGCATTGGTGATTGATCAGTCGTTGAATTCGATTCATCTTGCTTATGAATGCATGCATTGCTTTTTGCTCTTCTTACATATCCAGGTGTGTTTTTTGTGTGTTCCGTGACGAGGTAGCTTGACAACCGCGTTCGAGAGCGAACGATATCTTGGAAATGTCTGCGAAGGCTATCAGAGAAGCCACTGGGAAAGAATTACTAAACAAATTCCTCGGAGGCACAGCGTCTGTTTGCAATTTTTGTCAAGTCAACGAAGATAATTTTGGACAATGGGATGCACTGATCGCGGCCAATCCGTGGATGACACAGTCGGTGCGGAACATGACGAAAAATTGCCAGTCCTTTTTTTTATAACTTTTTCGACGTACTTCAGAAACTTGTCGTGAAGCCGGATCAATTGATCAAGCGAAGAGGAAAGCTGGGACTCATAAAAGTGAACGTTGATGCAGACGGCGCAAAGCAATGGATAAGTGATCGCTTGGGGAAACCGCAATTGGTATGATTGGATAACCGAAAAGCGTGCGGAATTGACAGTAAAAAAATTTTTATAGGTTGGGAAAGCTACTGGGAAGTTGAGGAATTTCTTGATCGAGCCTTTCTGTCCACATGAGCAGGTTAGGATCAATTGTATCCTGTCGAGGTCTTACCGGAAGTGAATGGGATTAATTTTTTTCAGAGTGATGAAGCATATATATGTATTTATTCCCATCGTTACGCCGATACTATTCTATTCCACCATGAAGGCGGTGTCGAGATCGGCGATGTGGATGCCAAAGCTGCTAAACTGGAAGTCCCCATTGGCGAAACGCTGAAAGTTGAGGATGTGGAAAAGCTTCTTCGAGAGCTTGATCCTTCGAAAATTGAGTAATGTCTTGAATGAAATTCTCGTATGAACTTGAAGCATCCGTTTTTCTTTTTTTCTAGAGCGACTGCCAAATTTGTGATGACGTTGTACGACGTGTACGTAGATCTCTTTTTCACCTATCTGGAGATAAACCCGTTGGTCATCACGAGCGACAGCAAGGTTCACGTTCTGGATTTAGCTGCGAAGTTGGATTCCACTGCTGAGTTCGTATGTCGAGCAAAATGGGGTGAAGTTGAGTATCCTCCCCCATTCGGTCGCGACGCTTATCCAGAAGAAGCCTACATTGCCGATCTTGATTCGAAAACCGGTGCTTCTTTGAAGGTAATACGTGTACTTGGTCGAACTATTTCCTGATTTGTTTTTATTGATCTACTGAGGGTATCGGGGGCACTTTTCAACATGACCATTTTTTCGCCATTTATTCAGTTGACCTTGCTGAACCCGAATGGACGAATTTGGACTATGGTTGCCGGAGGCGGGGCTTCTGTCATTTATAGTGACACCATATGTGATCTTGGAGGTGCTGAGGAGCTCGCTAACTACGGGGAATATTCTGGAGCTCCGAACGAACAACAAACCTATGAGTATGCGAAGACTCTGTTATCACTGATGACGAAAGTAAAGCATCCGTCGGGCAAAGTGAGTTTTCTCGTGAAATTCACGATGAAGGGAGTTGTGATCTATAGTAATGTACTTAAATTGTGAAGTATCGGGACTCTCGGTCTGTTGGGAAGTTTGGTTTATTCTCTCTGCAATTTTTTTTGCTTTTTTCTCATATTCATTTCTTTTCATGTTACATCCTGGCCTGGTTGTGGGAAAATTTAGGGACGAGTGAGTAAAAAAGTCATTCATCTAGTGATCTAGAAGACCTGAAACTGATGATTTTTCTTTATAGGTGCTTATTATCGGTGGTGGAATTGCCAACTTCACGAATGTTGCGACGACATTTAAAGGAATCAGCACGGCACTGCGCGAGTTCCAGCCGAAGCTGATCGAACACAGCATCAAGATTTTCGTTCGACGTGCGGGACCGAATTACCAAGAAGGCCTGAGGTATTTCGAGTGCTCACCTTTTATTTTTGTGCGTAATTGAACATTTTTTGGTTTGTTTCAGAGTCGTCCGGGAAGTTGGCAAGAGCCTCGGAGTGCCATTGTACGTTTTCGGTCCAGAAACCCACATGACTGCCATCGTTAGCATGGCTTTGGGCAAAAAAGCAATTCCGAGTGAGCCAGAAAGCGAGACACATACTGCAAATTTCTTATTGCCCAGTGGTATGGAGAAGGCACCTGCGAAACCCGCGAGAACGACAAGCGTCGATGCTAGAGGTGACGTGCCAACTTCTGTTACTCGTGAGTTCCCCGTCTGTGTTCTGTCCCATATCTTAGCTGCATTTTACCAATTTATTGTTATTGACTTATTGAGAAAATACAGGGCGACTCGCTCTGCAACGATCTTGTTACAACGTATTTGTTTTGTTTTTGTTTCTTCGGGTTCTCTCCTCATGTTGTATGGGTTCTCTACTACGAAACTCTCCACCACGCATTTTTCTTTTCCCTTAAATTTCGTTCTAGACAGAGTTCACCTGTATTAGGTTCAAGATTAACACCCTGTACATGCATAAATGTAAGAATGTAGATGAAGTTGATTACAGCGTGTTGAAAAAAAAGTTCATTCGTGCTGGTATTCATTTTCGTTTGATCTGTTGATATATGTTGTGGTTTCCGTGGTAACATACAATATTTAAATCACCCTTCGTATTCACTTCGATGCGAGGGATCGATCTGATGACGCGTATTTAAGGATTCGCTGTTGACGAGTTTCTCGCATCAATAGCACAAGATGTCTCGACTAGTCCGGATGGAGTACCTCGACGCAAGTTATTCTCTGCAAAAACGAAAGCTATCATTTGGGGGATGCAGAATCGGGCTGTTCAAGGAATGTTGGACTTCGACTTCGTATGCTCCAGACCAGATCCCAGCGTTGTGGCCATGATCTATCCTTTCACAGGCGATCATAAACAGAAGTTTTACTGGGGTCATACTGAAATTCTGGTGCCAGGTAATTTTCACGCTGTGTATTTAGTTGATGAGTGGGTGTTTTTTACTTCTTTTTCCGTGTGCTTTTCCTTAAACTCAGTGTACAAAAACATGGCTGATGCTATGGCTAAGCATCCAGATGCAGATGTGCTCGTCAGCTTTGCTTCTCTCCGCTCAGCTTATGATTCCACCATTGAAACGATGAACTTTCCCCAGGTTTGATGAGAAAAAAGTGTAGGTCTTCAGGCTTGTTCTTGAATTTTTGAATCACGCCCTGCAGATAAGAACCATCGCGATTATCGCGGAAGGAATTCCTGAAAACTACACCAGACAGCTGATCAAAATGGCTGACGAGAAAGGTGTTACCATCATTGGACCAGCAACTGTTGGTGGAATTAAGCCGGGATGTTTCAAAATTGGGAACACTGGAGGCATGATGGATAATATTCTGAGTTCCAAATTATATCGCCCAGGAAGGTGTGTTCATCTATTCAATTTTTGTTTATCCGCGAACAGTGTGATGAATGTGTTACGATCGAAAATATGTCGGTGTTTTTTTAAATTGTGATGGATTCGGAATTTTTCAGTGTGGCTTATGTTTCTCGATCCGGTGGAATGTCCAACGAATTGAATAATATCATTGCCCGTGCCACAAACGGCGTCGTTGAAGGTGTTGCCATTGGTGGTGATCGTTACCCAGGAACCACATTCATGGACCATTTGTTACGATACCAGGATGATCCTGATGTCAGTATATCTGCTCACTCGAGGCTGTATTTTTGAATTTTCATGTTCAAATTCATCAGGAATGGGCGAAGCGTACGAATTGCTAAGGTTCAAGATTACACCTCTTCTGAATTTCAGGTAAAAATGCTGGTTCTTCTGGGTGAAGTTGGTGGAGTGGAGGAATATCAAGTATGTCAAGCTTTAGAGGAGAAGCGAATCACAAAGCCGATCGTAGCTTGGTGCATTGGCACGTGTGCAAGTACGTTGCATTTTTTTTCTGTCGAGATGTATAGGATGGATAATTGATAAATTTGATCTCGTTAGCGATGTTCACCACTGATGTTCAGTTCGGCCATGCGGGTGCATCTGCCAATGCTGAGAGTGAGACGGCAGTAGCAAAGAACAAAGCTCTTGCTGCTGCCGGTGCACTAGTTCCACCCTCCTTTGATGAGCTGGGGGAAGTAATCGCTGAAGCATATGAAAATCTCGTTGGTTCGGGTGTCGTCATTCCTGCGCCCGAAGTACCTCCTCCTACTGTTCCGATGGACTACTCATGGGCAAGGGTGAGAATTAAATTAAATCGGCGATTCTCTGGTTCAGCAGCTGTTCAAAAATTTGCGTTAGAATCAGAATTCCATGTTTAGGGCTAGACAAAGCTTCGGGGTCGCCGTTCAAGCATTTCATGTGGTCTAGTGTGAGCATATAGGTCACAATGAAAGAGTTCACTGTGAAGAATTGTTTTACGCTGCTGCAATTTATATTTCTGAAATTTTACGCTTCGAAGGGTCGATGATAAAAAGTTGTGACGTACATTTTTTCACAAGAAAATGCGGCAGAAAATTCGTGCCCTAGCCTTACTTCAGACTTTTATGTTGAGATTCTTGGTTGAGACTTATTCAAATTCTGTTTTCATATTGATTAATCCTGGAACCAGTTGTTGGTCAATTTTTTATTATTATTTTTTTCATTTTCACGATTTATGGAGACATCCAAGATTTAACATAGAAAGATTTTTTCCTCATTTGAGGATTTGTCCTAAAATAAATATACACGAGTTCTATTTCTGCAGGAGCTTGGCTTGATCAGACGTCCCGCATCGTTCATGACCACGATTTCGGATGAAAGAGGCCAAGAGCTTTTGTACGCCGGAATGCCAATCACACAGGTTATACGAAAATTTAAAATATGTTATATGGGTGCTCTAGCAGTTTTCATATGGTTCCTCAGATCTTCAAGGAAGATATGGGTATTGGTGGGGTATTGTCTTTGCTCTGGTTTCAACGTCGACTCCCAGCGTATGCCTGCAAGTTTTTCGAGATGTGTTTGATGCTGACGGCTGATCACGGTCCTGCGGTGTCCGGTGCTCACAACACAATTGTTTGCTCGCGGGCTGGGAAAGATCTTGTGTCGTCTCTTGCCTCCGGACTTCTAACGATTGTGAGTTTTTGTTCGCGTTTGTATGAAGAAGTTGGGCGTAAGGAGTGTTCATCGATGGATACCTACGCTCTTTGGGGTGAATTCATTCTGGTTGTACACTGGTCTAATGAATTTCGCACGTCGAAAAATTGAAGCGTAAAATGTTGATTGACTTCCGAAATTTTGTGAAGGGTGATCGATTTGGCGGGGCGTTGGATGGTGCCGCGAAACAATTCAGCGAAGGTTATGATTCCGGTTTGATCCCCATGGAGTTTGTGAACAAGATGCGAAAGGAAGGTCGCCTCATCATGGGGATTGGGCATCGAGTGAAATCGGTACTTTTTACCGCATTCTCCATTTTCTGCACGCCGATTTCTTGTGCTTTTTTCATACTGTAATGTTGTTTGTTTTAGATCAATAATCCTGATATGCGAGTTACGATTCTCAAAGACTTCGTGAAGTCTACTTTTCCACAAAATCCTGTGTTGGATTACGCTTTAGCCGTAGAGAAGATCACAACATCGAAGAAACCGAATCTGATTTTGAATGTGGACGGCGTCATTGCTACATCCTTCGTGGATCTTATTCGCCATTCGGGCTGTTTTGGAACGTGAGTTTTTTGCGATCTGTTAAAATATAATCTTCCGAATGTCTGACTAATCCAACGTGATATCGATAAATTTGAAAGTTTCGCCTGCTCAAAAGTGCTTTAATGATGTTGACAATATTCAGGATGATTTATGCGCTAATATACTCTCGCATTAAAACCGAGAATATTACAGGAACTTCGCGATCTTACGATTATGACAAAGATAACGAAGGAAGATATGACAGAAGAACAAGGGAACATTTTCTGGCGTTATCCTGATAGCCGATTGTCTTCGGAACCTGAAAAAAGAAGGATAATTTTTTTGGGATCCCTTTTCGGATTGCTTTGCGTTTTAAGTCGCTGCATAATGTACAAGTCAGTATTTAAAATAATGCTAAGACTTTAACGCATTCATAATATTCGAAGCAAATGTAGTACAGTAATTGAATGTTGAAACTTGCTGAAAGATTCACGCTTTTGCGAATGTTCTGCTTTAATCACTTGAGTCATCGATATTTCAGGGATGAAGCGCAAGAATACATCAACATCGGAACATTGAACGGTCTTTTCGTTCTCGGTCGCAGCATGGGATTCATCGGTAAGAGATCGAGTCTTATTCCAGGAAGTCTTTAATAATTCTTGAGTCTATTCTCAGGTCACTATCTGGATCAGAAGAGATTAAAACAAGGACTCTATCGACACCCGTGGGATGATATTTCATACGTCATGCCGGAGACCTATTCGGAACCGTGAAAACTGACTCTGAGACAGGATAATTGACGAATTGCACGATCACGTTTGACAATGTCTTCTTCCCTCTTCAGCTTTTGTGTAGTTATTTTTTTTTTGTGTGTGCCGTCGGTTGAGTTGAAATGTGAAGATCAGGGTTTTTTTCAAGTCTGTTCAAATTTCAACGAAATGCTTTGTTTTAGCTTTGGAGCTTAAAATCATAGGCCAATCCTCAGTTGTGTCGAGTGGGAACATGGGTTGCTCGGATAGAATGGATCTGTGTTAAGTTAATCTCGGTCAAATTGCGTGGGTTTTCTTCCACCAATTTTAAAACAGCAATCTCCTGAATCTTTTTTTTCTGGACGCATTGAATGTGGGACGAAGTATATTGCAGAATAATTAGTTTAAACTGTGTATTGACGATTGTCTTTCTTGCCCGATTGGCTAGTGCGAGTACCAACACCATATCAGTTCAGCGAAGCCAGCAAAAGCAGGTCTTTCAAGCAGCTGTGAAGGAAGTAAGGTTATATTTTAGGAATGAGCAGTGCTAAAGCTTTTTGGTCATTTGACATCACTACATTCCGTCACATCGATGCAGAAGAGACGCGAATCTCCTAATACTTGCTTCAAGCGCAATTTTTCCTGTAACGTTATCGCTGTAGGACTGTCTACTGAACTGCCCTCTGCATGGTAGAATTACGTGGGAAGACTTGCGCTTGAACTTGCTATGGGGCGCGCAAATCAGTAATGTATGTTTAGTTATGTATAGAAGGAATAATTCCGAGCGTTGAAATTGTAGATTATGTTGGAAAATATGGATCGTTATTTATCGAAATCTTCACGTTATTTTAAGGAAATATTGGGTTTGCGCCATGTGCTGCGCTTCCAATCGTTTTTGTTGAGTTTGTACTTCATACTCGGCTTTATTTGCAATTTATATTAATCGTTTCTTTTTGGGCTTAATTTAAGGTGCTCGGTTACATGGATTTATTGAAACCTTGTGAAACCAAATGTAGGAATCTTTTCAATTTGTATACCTGGATTAGGTTGGAGATCATTTCTCCTTTTTTCAGAGGATCTGCAGATTGGTTTCGGAAATTCTCGAGCTAAGGCTGTCTCGTTTTGAGGATTTTGTTCTGTTTCCATTCCAAAGCGCACAAGCAAATGTTGGGCTCTTCAGGGTTTAAATCATGTTTGAAATATAGCCGGTTATCAAAGCTGATGCGGGCTTTTCATTTTTTTTTCACCGAGATTTTTTTAGAATTCTCAGAAATGTGTTCAGAGTTTGAATTTTTTCCCACAAATTTTTTAAAATTCTGTTTACAATTTTGAGCGGTTTTCGAAAGTCTTGCAAGTTTAGCACAGAATTATTGGTTGCCTCGTTGGTAACGAACTCAATATACTTCCTCATCTCCGACGAATCGTTTTTTATCAATGGAAATATTTTCAGTCGATTATGAATGGATCAAGAACTCGAAATCAGGAACGAAGTGCTGAGCCCCAGAGATGTGTTCAGAAGGAGCTCGAACAAAGAGCAGTACAGTACTGTATATCTTCGGGTCTCGTGCGTTTAATAGAGAGCGTAGTTAGAAAAAGTAAGATCTGTTCAAACTTTGAAGTATGGAAGCTCTTACCTACATTGCGATGTGGTTTGAAAGCCCCAGAAAGTGTTATTTATTCGCACGAGTCATTTTCCCTATTATGATGTCGCCCGAAAACTCAGACTAATCGTCATTGAAAATGTTCAGGCTGCTGAGGTATTGGTGGAATATGATGATTTACAATGACGAAAGCAATGAGTCTTCGGACGGACGAACTCAATTTTGAGTCTCCCGAACAAAGAACATTTTGGAATGATCACTTTCGAGTTTCTATGATTTTTTGAATTACGTTGAGGCAATTCATTCTCATATTCAGCCAAGAATTAAGTCTGCATTTTGCCTCAAGAATGATTGACTTGAAAATAATTGCCAGTCATTGTCCAACCTCACTGAGAGTTCATGCGTTACTTGCCAGACTTTTCAAAGCCCCACATATAATCCTTGAAGTAATCTTTCCATAACAGGTTACATTGAGACATGGTTTCATTGACTGCTGGTGAATCACGCTTTTCTATCGGTGACCAATGGAAGGATTTCGATGGGAAGCCGGATGTTCTTATTCTGGAGCCTTTCCATGATGGTTCACACAAGCAGCTTTTGGACACCATATTGAATGAAGTTGACGGTTCTCGTTTTCTTATGCTGACGATGTCGGGCAAAAAATGGCACTGGAGAGCAAGGAACTCTGGACTGTACTTCGCTGGGATTGTGCCCAGGTTGGACTCGTACAGGTATAAGTATATATTTCTTCGGTTGTGTCCAAAAGCATATGCGATATTGTATCATCGATTTTCCAGGGTTCTTTTTGCCACTAGTGTGATGAATCTTGCTGATTTTATCGCCCTTCGTCCTGAGTTTAATCGTGTCGCGAAGATCTTGTATTTCCACGAGAATGAGCTGAACTATCCTATCGTCAATCCGAAGGAAAGGGATTTCTACTACGGAACTGCTCAAATTATTTCTTGGTCAGTTCATTCAATGAATTCGCATAATTTCATGTTTATAAAAGTGAATAACTTTTCTTTCCAGTCTTGTTGCCGACATCGTGCTTTTCAACTCGGGGTACAACTTGGAAAGCTTTTTGAATGCTACGCACAAGCATTTCAACATGATGCCTGACTATCTGCCTGATGTTTCAGAAATGGTGAGAAGAATTCGTGGGAAAGCTCACGTTCTACATTTTCCCGTAAAATTTCCCGTGATAAATGCTGTACCATCCCCCGAATCTTCTGATCGACTGCTTCACATTTTGTGGCCGCATCGTTGGTGAGAGGACATACTGTAAGAGAATTTTATTTTTCGGGTAAATTGAGATTTTATTCTTATGTGTACGAAGGGAACACGATAAAGGAGGCGACATATTTTTCGAATGTTTGCGGCAACTGAAGAAAACGACCAGATTCAAGGTTTCCATACTTGGGCAGAAATTTTCTGAGGTTCCCGAGGCTTTCATTACAGCGAGAGAAGAATTCAAGGATGAAATTCTTCATTGGGGATTTTTGGACCAAAAAAAAGATTATTGGGAAGTCCTGAAAAAAAGTGACGTTGTGGTTTCTACGTCATTACACGAATTTTTCGGTGTCAGCATGTAAGTTCACTAATGTTTTTAAAACAAAAAGCGTCCTGTAATTCATCTTCAAAAAATTCTTTGTTTGTTTTACAGAAATGGGAACTGGACGTGCCCTTCTAGCTTTTCAGATTAAAATATACAGAGGCTATGAATGCTCATAGAAGCTCAGTTTACGCGTTTGAAATTTTTCTTTATTCAAGCGCTTGAATAACCTCAGAAAACAGTGACTGACCGAAATTAATGAGACTTGATGGGCATTCATTTCTCAATTGTGCGATGTTGTCATTAGATTATCAAGACTAGATACACTTGCTCCACTGATGCCTTGGACCTTCATCCAATAACTCCTGCTGTACAGCAGCAATTCCTTGATTTTTTGATTCTTTGAAATAAAGACACTTGTGATTTTAATTGCCCCGTGAATGTCATATATGGTCGTCTTTCCGAGGGCATTGAATAGTTACGTTACTTGATGATGTACAGTATTGTAAAATTATCTTGTCAACCCTACTGGGATCATAAAAAAAAACTAATCGTGTTTATGCGTACTGTATTATACTTTTTTTTCTTCTAAAAATGTCGTGTGCAGTCTTGTTTGTGGATCGAACTTCATTTCAGATTCAATTCGATTTATAATAATTAACGTTTTATATTCATCAGGGTTGAAGCTGCGATTGCCGGTTGCTTTCCGCTGTGTCCCAATCGTTTGTCGTATCCGGAAATATTTCCAAAGGAATGCCTCTACAACACGGAAAATCAGCTTCGACGCCGCTTGGAAAATTTCTGTGGGAAACCATCAAGTGCCCGAAATGAAAGTTCGAAATTAGGCATTTCCTGTCGTTTGAAAGCGAATTATTCTGCTGAGGTGCTCAGCCCGATTTACCGAGCTGTACTTGGACTTGAAAAGTTCCCTGGGGAAGAAACTGGTTGTATTTTAGAGTTGAAGAATTGTGTTGCGAAGCTTCAGATTCACGAATAGCTTCGTATTGGTTGAAAATGCGCCGCTTCCATTATAATCCGTCTCACGCTTTTCGGGAGTGATGACCAAATGAAATATTTTGTCGCTTCATGGATCACCATAATTTATTTCATAGATCCGATCGCATCGGCTTATTCCGTATTCCCGCGAGTCTGAGCTAAATTATTTTCCAACAATCTTGAAAAATAGAAAAACCAAGATACGCGTCGTTTCTTAGAATTGAATTTGAATTGCTAGTTCATGTAGGGGTTAAAAATCAGGAAATATCTGACTTTTGATCCCACCTACTGTATATTGAACATTTATGCACAATTTCATGTACTCTTGAAAATTGAATGAAAAAAAAAATCTCGTGGAGAATCTGGAAAATTTGAAGTTAAAATGTTGGGAACATCACGGTGGATTTTTTTCAAGTATTTTTTTTTTTGTGACACGTGGCCGTGAAGCATCTGGTACTAGGTTTAATTTCATTTGATAAAAATTGACTATTAGGACATCCACTTTGAACATATCCTTGCATACATTTCGCGTTCGAAAATATACTCTCATTTCAAAATGTAAATAATTTTTTTCACCTGCAAGCATTATGTAGATTATGAAGCTTCATCTGCTATATATGCAGCGCACGCGCAATTACATGGTGAGCGTGATTTTGATTCAACAAAATTTAAAAATCTCAACTAAAGAATTAGTGTACAAGTAAAATGATTTTGTGAAAACAGTACCGTATTTTCTGAAACGATCATTTCCGTGCATGCATTCAGTTGAATTTTCTTTCCGGACGATGCTTCCGGGGTTTTCCTTCGCCTGGAAGCACGCATCATATGTGTCGCCCCAGATCGAAAATAGATCGGTACTCAATAGAATTCAGTCCCACGTATGCCCCGATGTGAAGCAGTAGACGAACGTAATGTCGAAGAAACTTCTTTGTTCACGTTTATTCTGATTGCGGCATTTTTATTTCTTATCGCAATATTTTTTTTTTCAATATTTATTTCACCATTGTGGTGAAATTCAGGGCGACCTTCGCTCCCCTATGAGTTGTTTTCTATACTCCGCTTTTTTTTGTTGTGCCTTCGCATCGAACGCAATGCGAAACCATTGAATTCAGTGAGCAAGGAAGAAAGCGGTGGATTGTGTGACGGTGTGTTGGGAATGCGGAGCCACGATCCCGAAATTTTTAGGGAGCTGCAGCTCAGTCTCCTCGTAATATTGGACAATTTTCCGACTTGCGGCTCGCGCGTCAGGACGAAGCTCCTGTAGTGGAGAATTCCCGAAAGTACTTTTGCTCCGTGGATTTCTTAAATTGTAGTTTTTCAATTTTTAGTTCGCTCAAAATGAGAACTGTGCTTGTAATTTGTATAATGGCTTTGGCTGCATTTTGCGGCGAGGCAGGTGAGATTGAAAAAAATGCGATTTTGGTGATAGAAGGTTGAGCTTTAGGAGCTGGGTAACATTTTGTTCTTTTCGGATTTCGCTTCACGCAGGGGCTTCACGATGCCACGAATGCGTCGGCAAGGGTTGTCACATGGAAAGGCTAGCGGAGAGAAAATGCCCGGTGAACTCACAGGGATGCATTACCATTTATTCCAAGAAGGATAAAAAGGAAGGTCAGTGATCAATTTTTTTTTTTTTTTACTCTTATCATAATCATGATTTTGACTTTCATCTAACTATGCTGGGTTTCGGGGATTAAAGGTACATCAATGGAGTTCGCGAATAGTAATCGTTAATTTGTTTTTATTCATGACCCTTATATTGAAATTAAACCGTTGTTGTTTCACGTGTAGCATCAGGGGTGTCTGAGTCGCCATATCACGGCTCAATTTTTCAGTTATCAGCTAGCAAAACAGAAAATTTATTCTGAAAGTACATGATGTATATAGAGCAGTTTACTTGTTCAGATAATTGGAAAGAATATCCGCAACTGTGAATAATTTCCCGTTTTACAGAAAATTTATAGAAGCCTTCTTTCTGCCAAACCTGTAGCTATCGAGTTCTATTAGATTATTAGGCGCCTTGCGATTTTTGGTCGTTCCAAAACGACCTGAAAGGGATTGATTTTGAGTACAGGGACAGCCTCATATCCGCCGTCAATAAAAGATAAGCTTAATCAAGTATTAATGGAATGACAGAACTCGATTTTTGGCACTGTTTTGATCGTTGGATTTATCGCATTAAAAAATGCATTGAAATCGTTGGAGAGTATGTTGAACAGCACTGGAGTGTTGCCAAATATGATGCGGCTATGCGAGTACACAATTTTTTTGTGGAATTGTTGACACTCCGTTGGATCTATTTCATCAAGTCTCAAAGTTTATGAACCAACCCTCGAACATGTTTTCTTGTTTTTAGAAAATATTCTGCTGAAGAACTGCTCGCAGCCTTGGATCAGTTGGCGCGATGCGTGTCAGATGGTTTCCAGCATCGATCAGTTGCTTCCAATCAACGTGACAGTGCCCAGCCGCTTTCCCGACGACGGCACTCGAGGTCCCGACTCCACGACGTCGCACAGCACTTTTCCCGACGGCGAAGGCGGCATAAGGAGACGCCAGCAAATTGACGGCTATGTTTGCAACTGCGACGGCGATTTGTGCAACTCCGCGGCGTCCGTCTCAGTCGCATTTGTTTCCATGGGGTTCGGGTACTTGCTCTTGTTTTCACTAGCCAGTTTCTCAAGGAAACTTTAATAGAACTCTGAGAGCTGTCGATCAGTTTTTTTTTTCAACGAAAAAAGGCCGCCTTTCGTAATCTAGAGTAATTTTACCTGAAGGACTTTGTTTCTATCGTTGTTTTCTGTCGGTCGTTGAATTGAGTCGGACCTGATCCGCGCAATGATTTTCGTGATGTTGCTTACTTTTTATGCGGTTTAAATTTACAAGTTTTCCAAGAGAATTTCGAAAACAATCGCGGCCAATTTTTAATTTGTCGATCGTGTCGGGATCAAATCGAAGCTTATATACATGTGTTGTATATAGACGTGAGAAATCATAATTACTTTCTGCTGCGTACCTCTATGTGAGCAATAAATGCAATCGGAAGTAGCAGTTCTTATCGAAGGAAGTATGGTATGGCGTGTCTCCTAATTCCGGTGTAAGTATATATATAGTGCTGTATTATATATGATACCGTATGCTTGATACATTTTCTGTTTTCTTATTTAGATGTGTATATATCAAACATCATCATGGAAGCACATGACCCGCTGCATAACGCTTTTTAAATTTTCCATCTAAATTTCTGAAGCAACTAAATTTTGCCTTGAGTTGATCATCTTGCTATTCCGACACAAACTGCAGAAACTGATGCTGTGAACAGCGTTTCAATCCAAAATAATTGACGCATGTCAAAATATCTATATCTTAATCACTGCCTTTTTATTCACAAAAATTGTCGAAACGCGTAATGCAACCCGCATAAATGGTTTTTCGAACGAACAACGAACAAATTAAGGCACTGAAATCTCCAGAATGGTGAGTATCATATTACTGAAAATCATTTTTCAGCATGATGAACTGTAAGGCTTCTTTTTGGTTTGAAATTGAAGTCATTCTCTTTTCAACTTCCTCCATTCCAGTCTGTTTTGTTGGGAGGACCTCTACTTTTACGCCTTTTTTTAAAGCTGTAAATTTAACCGAGGAACAGTTTTTGAAAACTACTCGAATTACTTTGCCGTGATTGAGTGACTTCATCTCAGAACGATCCCTATATAATTGTGGACTCAAATGTTCAGAGAATCCCAGAAGTTGACCAGGTTCATGGGGTCGGAAATCGTGTCCAAGCGAACGTAATCGTCGTACACTTGCCGAACGAGGTCGTTTTTCGCCGGGTCAAAAGGCCGCCAACTGATCTGGTATTCTGGCAACGAAGGGCGCGGCTCCCTGTAAGATACTCGGAATGAGACTTATATAGACGTACTGTACATGCTGTATTATAGCTGATATACTTGTATGTGGGAGAGTATAAAAGAGCTGATTCGAATGCAGGTTCCGCGTTCAGCTAATCCGACATACTGAAGCATCACTTCTAAGTTATGATGCCCTTGATGGTACATTCATTATTTATGCTCTCGATGGGTAATGCGTCGCAAGAAAGATGAAAAATATCTTGGGAATCATCGAAACTCGAATCCGTTGTGAATACGAAAAACATTTCGGATGCCACTAAATTGGACTGCTCTCTCGATCTCTCTATCTACAAAAAATTCAAGTGCCCACGAAAATTGCAAGTGAATAAGATAATTTTTTGCAGGGAGCCGAAAACCCCTGTGTGACAAAACATTTGCGTTATACACAGGAAAGTGTTACAGAAAAAATAATGTGGAGAATACCCTGCTGGAGTTACACATTTTTAGGGATCCAAAAAATCTTGCAACAAAAAATTTGCGATGGAGCACAGTATATGCAGTACAATCTTGTTATAACACGATTAAGCCATTATTCCTCCTATCATTATTCCTGAGATTAAAAATGAAAGATAGGTTTGGTGGATTGTATAATCTCGTTGTAGCTAATTATTGTTTCAAACGAATTTTATTTTTTGGTCCCTGCTGTCCACATAGACACAATATGATTTTGATTTATTTTCAAGATTTCAACCAATTTTTATTTATGACGAAACCCTTACGCGTCCCAAACGCTTCGCTGCAACAACATTTAACTGTATTAAAATATTTACAAAAATACCACAATCCTTATATTCGGAGGAGAAAGGAGTGTGCGTGATAGCGACGAGGTGAGAATTTTAAAACTGAAGAGAAATTCAAACGTGAGTCATATAAGAGTCACCTGTAAAAATTATTTTTCTGTCTGTTCAGTGTTCCCAATTCATGGACGCCGCAAACAATTTTTAATTTCCAATCCAATACACGAACTGATAATAGCATAGTGATCCATAATTGACAGCAGATTGAAAATTTTTAAATCCTTTCAAATGTTGCACAAAAAAATTTTGCTCACCCAGTTGTGACGAAATGGCGAATCATTCCCGAGTACATTTCTCCGATTTTGCCCTCATGCGAAGTGAAGTTTCCCGAGTTCGATCGGTACGTGTAATCGTCACCATGCGAAACAGCTGCAAAACGAATTTTTTTTTTACATTTCATTCCCCACCTTGTGTTATACAATATTTTCTTTCTCGTTTGTTTCCAAATTTAAATTGATAATTAGGATTATATACAACATTTATTCGGCGGAGAAAATTTTTCTTAAAAAGTAGCTTATTTGTTTATGGACAATTTGACACAAAGACAAACTTCAATTTCGGAAGCTGCATATCGATTGAACTTTCATAATATGTCGCATTTCAAAATATTATCGCAATGCTCAAATTTGAAACCTGCAGTGACATATTTTTCAGCTACTAAGATTCCGCTCACGTGCATTCTCAGCAGCTCTTTTTTTTTTTTTCAAAGCTAAGTACGAAATAAAATGTAAATGTATTAACTGCTGTTGCTGGAATCCGTCGCCCTCAGCATATAGTATCGTTCCAAATTACGTACAGTGCAGCAAAAAGTATTTAATCTCTGAAGTTGACTTAAGGTACACCTATATATGGGTAATTTTTGATGTACATTATTTACTTCCGTAAAGATATGCCAAAGGTCAGATTAAGCAGACAAGGATCTGAATGAAGGAAGCGTCTCTCTGGAATGGTCAGCAAGGGAGTCGTAACCCGTATCTCACCCGCGGGAAGCGGAGGCAGACCCAGCTTTCGAGCTATTCCGTTGATGATATTGATCACTGCATATCTTCCTTGGAATGCGAATAGGTACAGATGAACCCGGGCCTTTCGGGCGTGATGGAAGGCTGACTTCATGGTCGGCACATTAAACCATCGATCCCCGGTCATCTGCAAGAAAAAAGTACTCAATAGATTTTTCATAGACCATATAGCAGGTGCTTTTTATAATGCTATCAATATTCTAGGCGTTTCTTTTTCGTGTGAGTGACTGATGATTACCGTGAATGATTTTCCTATTTTATGCCTCTGCTCGTGATGCTTGCAAATGGAGATATTGTTACGGCTTAAAATAACGTATCTATCAATCGGATCAGTAGCTGCTGTGTTTATATACAGTATATTTGTATCAACTCTTTTTATTTATTTTTGCTTGGGAATTAAAACCTCGAAATTGTGTTCACAAATTGATCTTCTGTCATTTTTAAAGGAACTTTTTGGTTCAAGATCAGCTGCTAGCAATACGCATATTATGAATATTTATATTTTCATTTTCCATGATAGAGTTTATATTCCATCTGTTGTTTTTAAATTGAACTTCTTTCAAACTTATGAAGAGTAGCTCTCGATTCCGCGGTCATTTGATTCAGTCATGTTGATTTGTTGATTCGCTTTTTTTTTGTTCGCTACACATAATTCAGAGGATGGAAGATGGAACAGAAATAAAAAGTCGAACAAAGATTCAATTTCGATGTCTCTAAATAAGCCTCAATATAGCACTGCTGGTTATGCGATCAGCAGCTATCACGTTGAAAACAAACTTGTAAACGGGTTCCGTCACGTAAAAGTTTTACTAACAAACCCCCATTTTATACTGTGAATAAAGACGAATTATACCACGTAAAACACTAATTCTCCAAGCCAGATGCATTGAATACACGGTCGAGGAAACGTATAATGCTTTTAATTCGGATATATAATTGCATCAAGGTCTCGCGAAATTGAATTATCCTGCGCGGGGAACGGTTTACACAAATATATATACTGTATATACACACTGAACTTCAGAATAACACGGGGGAAAGTGTCTGCATGGTGAGAGATGCGACGGACGCTTGCTTCTGTATTTATTTTTGAAATAAGTTTTTTTCTCTCCTGTATATTTTACCTGCACTAGGTTGTAGATTGATTGAAAATCGATCCGCCTGTCTTGGAAATACAAATTGCGGACCCGCTGACAAACTTTCCTGGCCTGGTCCGGCCCCACGGTGGCAGGGATCTGTAGAGCATCTCTGCATCCACTCGTCTCCCATGACGTGTCCAGGGTTCTCATGAATTGCCCGTCAGTCAACGCAGCTTGTTTTTGCCACCGAATTGAAGGGAAAAAAAAAACATTCGGAAGGAAGAGAAAAGAGAGAGAGAGAGAGAGAGAGAGAGAGAGAGAGAATATAGCCATTCATTTTGGTTCTCAATGTATTATTTCTTGCACTTTTTATAGTTGTTGGGATCTAGATTCAGGGGTGCCAAACATACGTCCGACGCGTGAAGTTCAACCCTGCCTTTTTGCACGACTGAATATTCAGTCACGCAAAAACGCGAACACAATTTAATCTCAAGACTTCAATTTCAAGCAACTTTATTATAGTAGATTACGTAAAGAATTATGCAGATTGATCCATAAAATTCCAACAACAAACGTTTTTTTTGAATATTCTCGTGAATTGATACGCGGGATGTAGATCACTTCAAGTAATAGGCACATAGAATGGTTTCAACCATCACATAAATGTATAAAATACGCAATGTTTAACGTTTCTTGTGTGTGTTTTCCTCCACTGTGGCCCTGCACAAAATACGCTCAACAAATATTCTCTATAATGAATAAATTTTTATTGAAGACAATACTGCTTGTGGCCACTTATTCTGATTTTGGCACCACTGATCTATGAACTCCTGAAAATAAAAATCCAGAAAGATATTGAACAACACTCAAGAACCAATTTCTCAAGAAATACCCCAAGTGCATGGACGGAATCCTAAATTCGACTTTGAAATAAAGCTGATTTTGAATGTTACGCCGCACAAGTTATTCCCCAAATTTTTTAGGCAACACATTTTGTCTTCTATGTTCATTTGAGAAAGAAAAATTGCACCGCGGAGGAAATGTTCTCAATTATCAAGAAACGTTTAGTAAATGCGGATTATACAGCTGGACGTTGTCTACAGGGAAATTCGAGGGACCAGAAAAATATCGTCGTTGAAAGGAATTCGTTGTGTAGAGAACTTCTACAATATTGGTATATTGAGAACCACATGGGATCAACAAATCGTTATACAGAGAAAATCGCCGTGGACAAAATCTATGCAGAGTGAGTCTATAATAGTATATTCATCAAAAACTATGAATGCTGGAAAATTGAGTTTTTCCTAATCAGATGAATACAACTCAAGTCATCTTGATATTTCAAGAATGCCTCCATTTATTCCCCTATTCCTTGAATTCGTCCCGGCCTTTCTTCAAAACAAATTTCATCATTATTACGTCTTAATTCCTCCTCTAAATGCATGAGGATATATATTATTTATGTTAAAATGCGAATCACCCAGCACAGAATAATGCTTCTTTGATATTGACTGCAAAAAATGTTTGAATAATCCGCATGCTCAAGCAAAGCGTGTCCCTCAGGAATTTTTGATAATATTTGAACTTATTCCAAGTAATACTTCCGTCGAGAAAACTTATGACACCATATGACGCACGTAACCTTTGAGCTTCCTTAATTGAAGTACCATTTTAACTTGCAAATCGCATATCGTTCCTGAAATTAGCCCATCACTGGAAGCCATTTTCCGTCATTTCAACTCCGTAATTTAGTAATTTATCCGATTTTTGCGTAGGCGAGAAGAGAGCCTAAACTTTCTCAATTTATCCTGCTCGCAACTTTCGCAAAGTTTAAAAGCGAAATGTCTTCCAGGATATTCGTTAAAATTGAGAAATCAGGTCAGGAACTGAGTTCGCAAAGCTGGAAGATTCAGGAAAAAGGGTTCGGACAAGTTTTTTTCGCGAATGTGCATAACGCTTGAACGCGCGAATAAAAATCTCATTAACTGGTTATGGTTTCATAACAGGCTGAATTGAAAAATCCCATTTTAATTTGCCATCATGTGCTGGTTATAGAATTGACAGTTGAGCAGCTTAGAAAGTGATCTGATCTTGGAACAGAATTTTCCCGGTTTTTCCGTCTTCCAAAATAAATAAAGAAATACATCACATGCCCAATTCACCCTTTTATTGTGTAGAATCTCTAAAAAATGCACATAAGTTTATAGAAGATTGACAAATCTTAGAGCACAATTGTCTCATTTTTTATTCCCATCTTCCAAATTCGTGCCCAATTTTTCTTCCTTGCTGGATGATGGATGCAATGAAAAAAATTTCTTCTTTCTCTTGTTGCTTATATATGTGGACAAAAGCGATGGATGTGTCGCGAAATTTATTAGAATCGGAGGATGAGTTTGGCTGGCGCCAAACTCATCCTCCCGTTAATCTCGTGGGAACCCGAGGTCGCCGAAACTCTCA